CAGATGATGGAAGGTGTACTTGTGAAATTAAATCTAGGATTGCCATGGCAAAAGCTGCATTTAGCAAGAAGAAGAATCATTTTACCAGCAAATTGGACTTAAATTTGAGGAAGAAACTAGTGAAATGCTACATTTGGAGCATCTCTTTGTATGGGGCTGAAACACGGACACTGAGGGCAGTAGATCAGAAACACCTGGAAAGCTTTGAAATGTGGTGTTGGAGAAGGATGGAGAAGATCAGTTGGACCGATTATGTGAGAAATGAAGAAGTGTTATTTAGAGTCAGTGAGCAGAGGAATATCCTACACGAAATAAGAAAACGGAAGGCTAATTGGATTGGTCATATCTTACGCAGTAACTGCCTCCTAAAAGAAGTTATTGAAGGAAAGATAGAGAGGCGGATAGAAGTGACAAGAAGATGAGGAAGAAGACGTAAGAAGATGCTGGATGACCTTGGGGATAGAAGAGGATATTCTCATTTGAAGGAGAAAGCTCTAGATCGCATTAAGTGGAGGAACTGTTTTGGAAGAGACTGTGGACCTGTCGTCTGACAGATTACTGATGAATGAATGTTACAGACTAGTACATACAGATATGCATGCCCACACACACTGGCTACAGTTATTTTCTTGTCCACTCATTTTAAATGAGCACAAAAATATCTATATGAATCATACTGTGAGATGACAGGCAGGTGGAGTCTCTTACAGGGATGATAAATTTAAAATGTTTTTATGCACTTTGTGCAAAATATTTTGTTTTTATTTCTTCCTTACTTTGTACTTTGACTGGGTTACCAAGCAGCATTTGTGCAGTTTACATTTGCTTTACATTTAACACCACATCAGTCCATTTCATATCAGTGGGAATTGCATGAATGTCATTATTTAGTTACCATTTTGTTTTGCTACCATAACTCTGCAACAATTCCACCTTGAATATTGTTAATTAAATATTAACACTTAAGATTATCATATTAGTGACTCTTGCTTTCCAAGCAACCCATTATTATACAGATGATTGAATTGAATTGAATTGAATTTATTTACATTCCGTAAATCCAGTACAGGTGAGACACCATAGGATATGGAACAAGTCAAGTTAGAATACATAGTAGCTATACAATAATACAGTAATATTGCAATTAAATGAGGTAAACTTATAATACTTATAATACACATTAAACAATGATCAAGAAATTTATCAAGATTTATAATGGACTAAAATAAAATAAAATTTCCATTAAGACATTCATTCATTACTCATTCCATTAATCAAGTGCGTCAAATTAAAATGCATATAAAAGAGACAATCAATAAAAAAGAGACAAATAAAACAGGATAATTACATAATTTGTAGTTTATGACATATTTCTATATCAGTTCATTTGTTGTCACAATCTGTGTGTTCTCTTACATTACAAGAATGCCTGATTCCAAGCACTGTGTTAGTAAAAGTCTGTATCATTCTCATAAACAAAAACTACAAGTGAAAATAATTATGACTTCTTCATTACAATATTTTTAGTTAGTGTATAGGATGTAGTGCTTAGTTTTTAATGAAATTCTTTACTAAACATTAAATACTATACATATACCTATGGAATTCTTGAATCATGAACCATGTTAAGTTGAATAATTTGTTTGAAGAAGGTTATTTTTCAGGGCTGTAATAACATCATTTACAGATACATATTTTGATGTATGAATGTATGAATGAATATGTATAAGGGGTGAGCCATCATGATACAGAGAAAACAAAATTTATTCTTCCATATTTAAGTTATTTCTATCTATACCTCAACTTAGCCCTCTGGAATTTGTAACTTCATATAACAGTACAGAGAATTCTTAAAACTTGCTGCCAAGTGAGGTGGTATAGAGCTGATGCTCTAGACTTGATTTAAGGAGGTGCTTGTTTCCAGTCTCAGTTGGGACACTGGCTATATTGACTGAGGTTTTCTGCAGTTTTCTCAGTTCATCCAGGCAAGTGCTTGAGTAGGACATGACCACTTCCTTCTAAAATCTATCCATTACATTATTCACCAATCATCATGCTATTTGACACTGTATGGTCTGAGATCCAGGTGACAGCATAAAATTAACATCTAAAAAGTAAATAAAAACATGTGAATTTATTTAAATAAGAATATGATTTTTTTATAGTTAAATCTATATAATATGGAGGAAATTCAAATAAATGGAACCATAATCATCATCATCATCATCATCATCATCCACAATGTAGTAACTTCCTTGTTCCATATGCCGCTTTCAAATGCAGCATGACTCAAATTTTGAGAGGTATAAATATGACCAGGTACTCATTGCTTCTACACAAATGGTAGGATGAGGCATAGTCATTTTCACTTTATTTCATTAAATCATGATGTGCCATTGAATCCACTCACACACATTACAAGTTTACAGTTGCACTAGGCTCAGGTTTCAGGCGAAACTTGAAGAATGCTGATAAGCATGTTTTCTTTGTTACATCAGTCCATCTGTTTTTTTTAATAAAAGCATCCACACTATAATTAAGCTTGGAATATAGACCTACACTAATTTTTATTAACCTATTTTCTTTCTAGATTAATTTGATTAATTTGCTGGATCACTTTCCTGAAGGGCCTAAATGAAATTGCATGTAGTTTATATTATAGCACTTATTAAACTATTATTATCATTTATTTATTTCAATTCATTATAAGGCCCACAATACTTAAGGGTCTGAATATATTTCTGTATATAGGTTATCAAGACTTTGCCTGAGAGAACCACATTTTCAATAAAAGTTGCAGGTACATACATAAAATACGCTTGCTGTGTCTCATACAGGATTTGCATAGAGATTACTGTTTCTGAGAAAATTTGTACTCAAATTAGACTGGGGGCACATGGTAGCATAGTTGGTTGAGACATTATGCTACAAACTGGAAGTTTGCAGGTTCGAGTCCTGATGAGTTCATTGGTTTTTTCTATTGACCTAATCCTTCCAGCCACATTATGGTCTTGGGGTCAAGTCTGCCTCTAACAGAAATGAGTCCCAGGAATATTCCTGGGGTAAGGCTGACCTCACCTCCATCTGTAAGCCAATTATCTGGAAATGTGAGAGCCTCGATGTCTCACAACCCTATGGGCTTCCATGGCCCGCTACAGGCATAGCAATAATAACAGCAAGCTTACCTACAGGTTTAAGACTGCCCCATCAAACATATTATGGAAACTCCTGAGGTAATTCTACTGTGTGGCAGGTAGAACTCAGTTTACTACTCATTGCATATAGGTAGACAGTAGACAGTAGACAGCAGACAGCAAGGGAGCATTTGCCTATTGTTGTTTATAATGGTACATATTTATGGTATGATGATTTCATATTTATTTCCAGAGTCCTAATAGAGGGTGTGAAATACTATGCAAGTGAGCCACGGATGCTGGGACGAACTTTCTTGAGACTGGTGAGCAAATATAAGTTAGAAGTTCTTTTTTCTAATATGGCTGTGTCAGAATTTGTTCCTATTGTTTGTTTCAAGCCATGAGGTGAATCTGTAAAAATTTATGTTGATGGAAGCCATAATAGAACTTTATCTGTGTCTAGAGATAGGGGGGATTTCTCCCATGAAAATTTTACAGTTGATATTGTGTCTTGCTTTCATACTGTTCGTAGTATGCTTGTAACTATGTAGATTTATTTATTTTGTTAACTTATATTACTGAATGACGTGTCCAAATGTTACTATGTAGCAAAGCGGATGAAAATAAAATACAGTACAATACAATACAATACAATACTGAACTGACAGCTAGAGAAGAAGAGAGAGGGAGAGAGAGAACTGGAAATCAGTGAATGGTACTTTAANGAAACAAGAAACTGGGAAAATTCTTCTTTGGAGTCAGTGCAAAAATTTTAACATGTTTTATACAATCTGTAAATTACAATATCTGATTCTATATTCTTTAGAGAAAAAAACAGCGTTTATTTCGTTCGTTTATCACAGAAATTGCAGAAATAGGAGCAAATTTAGTAAGTGACTACAGTTTTTACGGATTTCTAATCGCGGGTATTTAAATATATTACGTACGGCTAACTTTACCGGAATTTAAATGCCCGTAGGATAATCGTTAAGTGAAATTATGTTAAGATTAATAGTAGCATGTAGTTCCAAATTGTTTCAAGGCTATCCAGAAACTTCTCTGACTCTAAGCTTAGTACATTTTCCAGAAGAGGATTCACAAGCCCCTCACAGTGAGGAGATAGAATTGAAACAGATTCTTAATCTTTTCTGCTCATGCTTTGATTTTCACTTACGTGGTACAGAAATATTCCAGTCTAGATAACCGAGAGTAACGGCTGTGGGGAACCGTTGTGATGACCACGTGACACTCTCTATCCACAAAAGTTGGCACTAACTTCACTGACAAATGGCGGTTGCTCGGTTGGTATAGTTTGTTTGGACTACAGGCCATGGAGTTTCTTTTTTGGTACAGAAATATTTCTGTAATCACAGGCAAAGTTTTAAGGCCGTGCACGGAGGCACCATTTCATAATGTATGACCTGAGCTACAGACAGCACTGCTAAAGAAACCATAAGTAAATAAATGAAGAAATGACCTCAAACTTGATGTTTACCTTCCAGGAGCGAGACTTTGACAAGCATGTTGCATATTGCCGTGATGAACCAATAGCACAGGAGTTCCTGCAGGAGAATGATGCTGTTAGAGACTATTTTGAGGTGAGTCCTTTTGCTTCAGAATTTGAGCTTGGTGACCCACCTCTATAGTGTTCTGTTGGGAATAAAATTCAAGAGTATATATAAGAAATATTTACCTGTTTGTGCGAGGATTGCATGTTAAATTGAAGGCAATAATTATGTTTTGTACCTTTTAGATGCATTATGAGAGCTATGATATCTCTGTTCCAATACACATTCACTCACATTCAGTTATTGCGCTTTCTTCATCTTTGTCTGAACTTCATAAACTCAATAAGTCTTTGAAAACATCTGCAAGGAATTGTAAGCATGCTTCTGGCCCATGTCATTATGTTCACATTTTTAACACACCATCAGTTTCTTTTAGTGGCCCAAAAAGGTGAATTTCACTGGGAGCTAAGTGTGTTCTAAAACAGATACTGAAGAACTATCAGTCCATTTTTTCAAAAACATAAATTATTTTGGGACTTCAGGTGATTGAATATAGCCTTGATAAAGACAACAAATTTGTTGTAATCTTGGCCTTATCTTATGAATGGGTGTTGCCCTATGCCTCTTTAATAGGGATATAATGCAAGTTACTACACTTTACAGGAAACTGATGTGGATTAATCTGCCAAGTGATGTGTCAGTTGTCAAAGAAGACAGTTTCTGTGGCTTTGCTTTGCTTTCTTGAGTTCCTTTGATGCAGGCAAATTTGTATGCTTCTATTATCATGCCACTCTTTTGTTTTGTGGGGTGTAGTGATGTGTCCAGGTATTGAGACAGGTTGCCGCAAACCCTTATTTCCAAATGGCACTAAAGACATTCCATGCACAGAACTTTCTAGCAGTTCTTTGGCCCATATTCACCTGTTTCAATGCCCGTCTGACAGGCATGTTTATGACCTCCATGTCCTCATATGTGACTAAGAAATAACGGGTTTCTGTCTCCTGTGTGATATAATCACCACTCACAGGGATTGCATGACCAGATTTCTTGCCACTGGCAAACAGATGAATCCATCAGTGAGGTCATTCTGTTTAGCCATACCGCATTAGTATAAGGCAGTGTTTCTCAACCACTGGGCTGCAGCGTGGTACCGGGCCCTTGTCTTTTAGAAAAAAGAATTTAAGAGGGCCATGATCTGACAAAGTTTGAGAACCACTGGTTTAAGGAGTAATGGAAAATCTATGTTTAACTTTCCATTTCATGATGATAAAAAGGTGAAGTTGTCCCTGTGCTCAACGAACTTAAGCAGTACGCCATGAAAGCGTGTGGGGGAATGGATGTATAGATCCACATTTTCTTGACCTCGGCACTAGCTGGAGGTGAGTGATTAGCTTCATGCCACTGCTGCTTTACTCTCAGGGAAAGAGCCCCAGTCCCATTGGATAGGAGGT